ATTTCTAACAAGTTTGATGTTTACAATTTCTGAAATAGTTGAGAAATGAGCGAGATATGAAATTCAAAATCTGGTTTAGAGTTGGCGCAAGGAAGAAGATGAAGTTGTCATCATGGACTTAGTTTATTTTATATTTATTGCAAGTTGTTTCAATAACGGATGAAACAGCCACCCCTGTGGCAGAGAGCGCGCGTAAGGAATTACTATGGAGGGTCTTGGGTTCAAGCCCCAGCGTCCCCTTTTGTTTCTTTCTTTTCATATTTTCCTTGTTTCTTTTCCACTCTCCAACACGCGCTGGGCCTCCCAGTGATGGGCCTGGTCATTTTTATTCATTACCACCCCTTTATTTTTATTTCAGAAAAGAAATGAGAAGACACCAAAATTACTTGGATGAGATTTTGGGGTCGCTTCCAGCTTAACTAGAGGTTTTGAGTTTGAATTCAGTTTTGAACATGCAACAATGTTAAATCTCTTAAAAAGAGCTTGTCGCTTATTGTGATTCTGCATAACTCGAAATATTAATATCTACAGTTGCGCGTAATAGATACTTGATTTATATATAAAAAAAAACTATATCCTAAAAAACGTATAAAAAACAAATTATTTGTAACATCTTATTGTTGACGGGTCAATCGTAACTCTAATCTTTGACCTTTATAGCCTTCAATAAATTTTCTTATTTTATATAAGGATATTTTTGGATCGATGGAATATGACGGAATAGAGTGGAATGGAATGAAATGATATTATGTTTCAGCGTTTAGATTGGTAAATAGATGATGAAATGAAGCAGAACATAATAAAATGCATTACATCCGATTCCATTATTTACTCTCATTTTTGTTCTGAAAAAAATAATACTTTTTTATTATATTTTAGAATCAAATAAGTTTTTGATCCCTCTAAATATTAAAAATTTCGTTTTTAATTTCCCTAAAAATTTTCTTTAAAAAAATAATCCATTCCCCTCATATTCATTCCGTTATATTTTCTTTTCATTCCATCCCCCTTTCCGCTCCTTCTTTTTGAAATATCAAAACATAAAATAAAGAATGAATACAGTTTAACAAGTACAGGGTTATTTTAGTCATATTTCGATAATATAAAAAACTGAGAAAAGCTGTTATAAAAACTCGCTTGGAGGTGTAACAATTAAAAATTTAACTAAAATGATACTAGAGGGGTTAGAAAGACTGCAGATGAAGTGAACACATGAGCATGGAGCACCGCCGTCACTCCACAGTGGCGCCACCAGTCACCGGCGAGTCAAAACACAACCCAACAACACCATGGAACTGCTACCTAAGAGAACTATCAAAGCAAAAAAAATACCAAGAAGCCCTAACCGTATACCGTCACATGCTCCGTTCATCCTTCTTCCCCAACACATTCACCTTCCCAGTTCTCCTCAAATCCTGCGCCCTCCTCTCTCTCCCCCTCACCGGATCCCAGCTCCACTCCCACGTCATCAAAACCGGATCACAACCCGACCCGTACACCCGCTCCTCTCTCATCAACATGTACTCCAAATCCTCTCTCCCTCACCTCGCTCGCAAAGTCTTCGACGAAGAAGCCATAAACCTCACCATTTCTTACAACGCCATGCTTTCCGGATATTCTTCTAACTCCATGATCTCAGAAGCCGTTAACCTGTTCCATAAAATGCGCCGCGAAGTTAGCTTTTCAGTTAATTCTGTTACAATGCTAGGTTTAGTTTCGGGTTTCACTCTCCCTGGTCACTTAAAACTTGGCGTGTGCTTACACGCTTGTGGTTTTAAGTTCGGTTTTGAGTCTGATTTATCGGTTGCTAATAGTTTTTTGACAATGTATGTTAAGTGTGGGGAAGTGGATTACGCGCGCCAACTGTTTGATGAAATTCCGGTGAAGGATTTGATAACGTGGAATGCTATGATTTCTGGTTACGCGCAGAACGGTCATGCGAGAAGTGTTTTAGAGCTTTATTTTGAAATGAAGAAGGGTGGGGTGAATCCTGATCCGGTTACGCTTCTTGGTGTTTTGTGTTCTTGTGCGAACCTTGGTGCGCAAGGAATTGGTAGGGAGGTGGAGAGGAAAATCGAGCAACTTGGATTTCGGTCGAATTCTTTTTTGACGAATGCGTTGATTAATATGTATGCTAGGTGTGGGAATTTGGTACGTGCGAGAGAGGTTTTTGATTGTATGGATGAGAGGAACAGGAGTGTTGTGTCTTGGACTGCTATTATTGGCGGGTATGGGATTCACGGAGAAGGTGAGATTGCAGTTGAGCTTTTCGATGCAATGGTTAGGTCAGGAGTGAAGCCGGATAGAACGGTTTTTGTGAGTGTTCTTTCGGCTTGTAGTCATGCTGGATTGACTGAGAAAGGGTTGAACTACTTTGATGAGATGGTGAGTGAGTATGATTTGCAGCCTGGTCCTGAGCATTATTCTTGCTTGGTTGATCTTTTGGGTAGGGCTGGTAGATTAAAGGAAGCAATGGATCTCATCGATTCGATGAAGGTGAAACCGGATGGTGCTGTTTGGGGAGCACTTCTTGGTGCTTGCAAGATTCATAGAAATGTAGAACTAGCAGAAGTGGCTTTTCAACATGTCATTGAGCTTGAACCTACAAATATAGGTTACTATGTTTTGCTGTCAAATGTGTACTCTGATGCTAAGAACTTAGATGGGGTTTTGAAAGTTAGAGTCATGATGAGGGATCGAAAGCTTAGAAAGGATCCCGGGTGTAGCTATGTGGAGTATAAAGGAAAAATGCATATTTTTTACTCTGGAGATAAGAGTCATCCGCAGGTTAAGGAAATATATAGAATGCTGGATGAATTGGAAAATCTTGTGAAGGAGATTCGTCAATCGGATAACAAGTGTCAGGGAAAGAGTGAAGAACCGTTAATTGGTGCCGGGGTGCATAGTGAAAAATTAGCACTTGCTTTTGGTCTCTTGAACACTAAGCCTGGAACAGATATTACTGTCATGAAGAACCTGAGAGTGTGTGTGGATTGTCATGTGTTTTTTAAGTTGGTTAGTAAGATTGTCAATCGCCAATTTATTGTTAGAGACACCACTCGCTTTCACAGTTTCAAGAATGGAGTCTGTTCTTGCAAGGACTATTGGTAAAACCATTGTGGTAGGACAAACTGTGATATATTTTGACGGACAACAATGATGTGCCATCCCACCACATAGTTGATTGTAAGGGTTGATAAGAGCCATCCCACCACAATGTTGATTGTAAGGGTTGATAAGAGCCATCCCACCACATAGTTGGTTGTAAGGGTTGATAAGAGAAGAGAATTCAAAGGGGATATGTTGAGAAAATCTCGAGAATATAAATAACTCGGACCTTTTGAGAAAAATGTTTGAATACTCTCATGATTTGCAATATAACACATGATTTGCAACTTTTGCGGAAAGGTGTATGGATGCCATTCATCATATGCTGACATAGAATATTGTGCAACAATGCTGTGTCTATAGAGAGTTGGTTATAATACTCTTGAAAAACAGAATGCAGTTTGTGGAAACTCTCGAGGGAGAAAAATCATTCTCATTAGTGTTCATTCCAATCCAAATCATTCTTTTGTAAGTATCTTCCAAAGGAGAGGGTGAGCAACCTTTCTTCCCTTCCCTTACACTACACAAGTTGCCCCAGTCCCTTGCCCAATCTCCTTAATTGTGTTGGTACCTGCTACCTCCTTAATCCAAGTCATAGATATAGGAAGTAAGGAACCAAAAGTATTACCAATTTATTATGGTTGGACATCAAGGGCTGAGGAATGATGATTGAGAAGAGACAATTTTTCAATGCAGGCGAAAATTTTGCAGTAGAGCATATACCAATTTATTGCAAGTATTCTTATGGTTGGTCTATAGATTTTTTATCCACTACTAGTATAAAAATGTTTTTACTACTGGTTGTGAAATTACATGTTTGAAGTCAACCAGGGCATCTCGTTCTAATTTCTCTAGTAGTAAGTACTTCCTAAGTTCCTAACGTAGTATTTGTTAATCCATTGAGACCAGGATCATGGATGTAGTGTTAAATGCCATTTCTACGCTGGCTGAATTTTTTATCTCGAGAAAAAGAAATACCTTCATTTCATCAAACAGATTTTTAGATTCTTGTATTTAAATTGTCAAAAAAAAAATAATCTTGTATTTAAAGCTTGTATCTGATTTTAACTCTTAAAAAAGATTTTAGGTCCTTTTTTTTAGTTTGTCAATGACTAGACTTACAATGATGGCAAATGAACTAATTTGACCCTTTGTGGCATTCTACCTTGTCTACTTTTAGTGTTTCTCTATCACGTCAATAGAGAATGGTGTTAATCACAAGTTACAGAAAAGGTTAAATATAAGGATCGTGGGTGTTTATGAAATTCTTTCATATTATATAAGGGAGGTAAATTGCATAAAAGCTTGATTTTTCAACTTGTTATAAACAAGATACTTAGAATGTGTTTTAATTAACTTATTTAGAGCTTATAGCACAAGTGCTTGTCAAAATATGCATTTATAAAAAAACTTGCATAAGCTATTTTTCTAACAAAGATAAAATGAATTTAAATTATTTTTACATGTGCTATAAATTGTTTTTATAAGTTATCTTTGAGAACTAATAAAAATAAGCCCAAAAAAGTGTATGAATAATATTATAAACTATTTTAATAAGTTTTTCCAAACAGTGGCACAAAACTTATGGTTTAAGATAGCCTCAAATAAATCAATCCAAACATGCCCTTAATCTTACTCTAATCAAGAGCCTAGATTATTCAAACCAATGTATAAATTTTTACAACGAATTATTACATTAAATATTAGTTATTTCCTGCAACTGCAACAACCACTGCAGGGCATGGGGAAAATCATACTCCGAAATTTCAACAGATAGCATCTCAGAACCTTCTCAGGCAACAAGAAAAATTGAACTCTAAAATACTAAATTAGAACGTTGATTCTAAAAGGTAAAGTTGTTGGCAAACTTCCATTTTATCATAGAATCACTATTACACCAGCAGTTTACTCAAGCCCCCAATCACTGCCACAGTATCAGTTGCAGAAATACATTCATCTTCAACAAATGGGATTGTTTTCCGTATCGTCATATTTATTGGAATGCTCCCTTTGTCTGCAAACCACAAACATTAGCAATCACTACCAGCAACTCAAAATAGCTCAAAATACTAGTTACAACAGTGCTACTCAATACAATTCTTTGATCTACAAATAACCACAGCGCAATAACTGCTGCATTTCAGTACTACGGAAAATAGTTAAATATGTGGCATCATGTGCAACTACTGCAATATGCTCATCATAACAAAAGATTTTCTAGCTACCTTCATCTGTGCTGTCCTTTTCTATGCAAACGGCAGCATAATGAGAACCAAGTAACTCTAGAAGCACAAAATGCCAATTGCTTGAGAGATCCTCAAGCTCACCAGAAGGCTCAGCAAAAATGTCATCTTCCTGTCAGCAAAATAAATTGCTTCTTAAATTGTTGAAGCAGAAAATATCACTAATTCACATGCAAACATGTCAATACTAAATACTAATGTAATTTCTGGCCGAATATCAGCAGGGCATGCCCGTATGATAGTAGTTGACTCTAGTAGTTGACACCAGTAGTTAACTAACATATAATATAATATTCAGAGTTTTAAAAATTGAACCAGACAGTTTTCAACAGGTTGATCCTTAAGCTGACTTCTTTCCCCGTTCAAGCGATTTGAAGTATGACCCAGAGGTCTTGCCGGTCGATTTCCGGTTCAGTTTTTATAACATCGAAAATATCTAACAGACTTCTCACCGCTATGGCGAAATAACGTAGTGGTGGTAGGGTTCGACGCAACACTATTGTTCCGTGAGCCGCTGTCAACAATAGTGGTTGTAGCGTCCGCAAACCACTATCATTATTTGCCCGCAAATAATCGATGTACTTACTCTTCTTCCTACTTTTAGTTCATTCCTGTTTTATTCTTCTCTTCTTTAGTTTTGTTGCTCTATATTTTAGGTTCTTTAACTATTAAGTATGATGATCTCTTTAATATTGTGTATTAGTCTATTTTTGAGTATTTAAATTTACTTTGTATAGTAGTTTTTAGCCTATGCAGTTGCGGTTATCCTGCTATCCGCCATAGCATTTTAGGGGGTTTGTGCTTTGTAACGCTATCCGAGATTAACATCATATCTTCTTAAGAAACATACCTTAGAAATTACATGAGGTAGAACGTGGATGCCTTCTTTCAAATGGTCTCTTAATCGAATAGTGAAAGTATTAAAAGGTGACGCTGAGAAGCCCCTTCCGAGTGCTTTAACATATGCCTCCTATAAATGGGACATGTCTCTGTAAGTGAAGCTGCATAATAGCAACAAAAATAAAATAGGTTGAATTCTCAACCTACTTATGCTCCTTCATTACATTACGCTTATTAAGTTATTATTATCATGTGTCAAAGGAAAGGTATTCTAAGTACCTTTACCTTTGATTGGTTGCACAAAAATAAAGAACTCAAACATAAACAACGAACTACTAAGACTAGAGCTCATGAAGACAAGAAAAACATTTAGACATCTTTTAAAAAGCATTTTATTAATAGACATCTTTTAAAAAGCATTTTATTAATAGACATCCTTACACGTTGAGAAGATGTTTAGATTACATCTATTATGTTTTGCAAACATTTCCAGTATCATAACAATTAGAAAATCTATTATCAATGTCCTCAGAGCCTACAAGAGGTAGAACAACAACTACCAAGCCTTATCCCACTGAGCTAAACAAATGAAATACTCAAATTTTCTCCAGATAATAGTTCGAAGAGGAAAATTATTGATACTATGATAAACAAAAGAAATACTCAAATATTCTCTGGATAATAGTTCGAAGAGTTACGTTAGTTTCTCAACCGACTTCTAACTGAGTACTGAAATTCAATAATGTGACAAACCTTCAGAGTCCATAATTTTATAAACTCATGACGTCGAAGCTCAGGATCTACAATGTGAGCCAGCATTTCTACTTCATGGGGAGAAAAGTATCGACGTGCAAAGGCTAAAATGTCATTCTTTAACCTCCTTTGCTTCTCTTCCACATCAATACCAATCTACAATGAGAACAAAAATTAAATATGTTCAAAGCCAACAGTCTAGGGCAGGAAAAATGGCAAGTCTTAAAACTAGAACAGAATATAATGACAATAATAAGTAAAAATAACATTTGTATGGACTAAATGCATACCTGCGAGCCGACAGTTACTCCACATGCTATCAAAGAAGAAGTGTGCGAGATATTAAAATGTAGTGGTGGTAGGTTCCAATCATCAGCATATTGCCAGTCTACCTAATGAAAAATGCTACTTAAGACTTTCGGTGTTTGCAAGAAAACTCAATGAACAATATATGTCAATTAAGCACAGAGAAAGTGCAACCATACAAAAGTTATAGGTAATAAATTATCAATAAGAACACACACCTCAGGCTTGCCATAACTGTTCTTCCTAAACTTCAAGGATTTTGGACCAATCTGACAATTTGTCTGGTCTAGCAGTAAAATAAATTGTTTAGATACATCACCTCTGTCGTGATATAAGAAAAACCAAAACCAAATGATACAAGAACATGAACAATATACAGATAGCAGATTTTCCACCAAACAAGTAGGCTATATATCTATTCAGATGAAACTTAATTAAATTATGTCAACAGTTGTAAAGGTTAAAAAGTTACATTATATTTACCAATATTCAAAACAGCACATATATGATTATGACTTGCAAAAGCCTCAGAATAAAAGTCTGCTTGGTGATTAGTAGATATCATAGTAACAATGTGTACTTGGTAAAAGTATAATACGTGACAACCCTTACTGATTATGGCGGTCAACGGATTTAAGGTGTGTTGTAGGGTCAAAAGCTAGCTCACGTAAGGGGGTGAGAAGCCCTGTGCATGTCGTTCTCAACTTCAGGGCTGAGATATTTATAACTGCGTTGGGCCTAGATCCTAGGCCCCTTGGAAATAGCAACCAATGTTGAGAGAAGGTGGAAGGGGATAGTTAGTTCCCTATTATTCAAGAGAGCATGGTTAACTTCCCTATGACTCCTTCCACATCGTAGCGGATTATGGACGCGTCGCTTCCCCGTTTTCCCATTTTAAGCAGGTTATTCTGGAGACAGGCGACATAATTAATAAAGGGGCGACACATCCAATAAACAAGCGGTCAAACTTGTAAATGGGCGATCAGGAGGGCTCTAAGGTGAAACGATGCCTCACTCGCCTCCCTCGTCACCTCTCAAGGGCCCCTTACAAATATACCACTACACAATGTTATACAAATGAAAAATATAAGGAAAAAGACAAGAAAAATTAAGAAATTGGGTATCATGAGTATCAGACCTTCAAAACTTACATCTTGCTAATGTAGTGCGAACCAATGCACGAGCTAGGAGTGCACTTTTCTTCAGCTCCTCCCCACGCATGCGGAGTACATTTTCTTTCTCACAAGGTGATAATATTTCAAAATATCGGTTCAATAGGTTTGTGCACTTCACCTCATTAGGTAAAACATACCAAAAGTGTGCTTCTCTACATTGCAACATACAAGATATTCAGTCAGCGACTGATATATCAAAATGACAACCTGACATAAGAATTAAATCGAAAACAAAAATGGCACCAACAAGGCTAATAATATCTTTATTTTAATCAAAAACTGAATCGTACATATGAATATGAACACGATATTGTTGAATAGATTGTAGAGTACAGCATAACAAAGAGTTAAGTATTAAAAAATGATCACATACTTTTGTGCTGGAAGTTGTACCGGGGACAAAGAGCATGATGCAGTGGCAAGAGTCCTTCCAAAGCAATATGTGTTCATCGTCAATGGTAGTTTGTTGTAAAGCATTGAACGCATGCATACCTAGCATATTGTCTTCAAAATCAGTTCAACCTCATAACAACAATTTTCAATGATGGCACAGTGATTACACAGAACAAAAACAAACAAAACTAGTGATTAATTCAAAATAAATTTTCAATCGAAAGATAAATGTGTTTCTCAATATGCATCACTTTTATGTTTCTAGAGGAAGTTAATTGTTAAAATCATTCTTCCAAAAACAAATTCAGCCGTCGCATCGGTAAGGTCACCGGCGGAACTGCCTGATCGCGGCCGAAAGCAGCAGATCGCGGCGGTGCGGAGGGGAGTGGCCGCTGGCCGTTACAGTGATAACAGATGCGGCGCGCATCACTTTCCCGACTGCCTCGGATGCATTTCTCTATGATGATTTTTTTTAAATAAAATAAATAGAGAGAAAAGCATGAAGAATCAAAGTAGAAGAAGGAGGAAAGGTGAAGAAGAAATGAAAAATCACAATACGAACCAATGGCGTGCTTGAATTACAGTGGCGGCTGGGTATTTTGCTGTGTTAAACGTTACAAAAGTGGCGTGAACGAACCGAGGCTCGGCGAGGAGTTACTTCTGGCGGAGAATGATAGGGGTAACACAAACCAAGATTATTTTAATGAACAAAAATGTTATTTTGACACCAAAAAAAATATGACAATCACTACCTAATTAAGAATGGAAGAGGATCTTTAGACACTTTCATTTTTACCCTTTGATAAAAAAAAACTTGTTCACTATATTATGCTTTTAATGGTAATTCACTAAATAAATATGTATTATCCAATCAAATTATTCGTTTATGTCAAGTGGCACTCTCTTTTTCAAATTTCATTGTATCTGAAACTTAATCGGGTAAAAGAAAGGTTTGTTGTAGAAACATTTTCATTTACAACTTCTTTTCACTTCTCTCACTTCTTCATTCATTTTTCCATTTTTGGTTTACTCTCATTCTTATAGTGACTATCTCCTTCATCAGATTTCACTATCTCTCTCATATGGAAAAATAACTCTCACATTCAACCCATCTCCACTAAGGCAAGTGTGGTGGTTTCAAGGCGACCACGTGTGGTTTCGTAGAAGGTTGTAGAGACGGGTTTGGTTGTCGGATTTGCAGAGTGGAAGCCATAATCAGTTCAGTGGTGAGCGGTGGTCGAAAAAACACACGGTGGTTGGTTTGCGGTTTTTGTTCACTTTTTCTTTTCTTTTCTGTTTCGTTTTATAGATTTGGTTTAATGTATGTTGTTGTTAACGAGTTTTGTTATTTTTCTTTCAGTTTCGTCTCTTTTCCCCAAACCCTAGAAAAGTCATCGCCGAAAGCTATGGAACCCTCTGGAGATGAACTCAAGGTGTGGGATGCTGAGTTTGTTAAGGTTAACCAGGAAACATTGTTCGATCTCATTATGGTTAGTTATTATCTTGACTATTTTTATATCTAAGCGTTGTTTTTATCGATTTTGTGTTGTATGTGTTGGTGTTTCATGATTTGGGGGTTTAAATTAGGGTTTCCTTGACCTTTTACACTTTGATTGGATATATGGGTAATGTGCTTGTCATACATTGTGAGGATGAGGCACCAAAAGGGAATTAGTACGGGAAAGCAATAGAGTTTCAGATAAAATATCTCACAAAAAATTGTATGCTTAACTGAATTATTACTCACTACTTTTAACTTTTACGCAGTAAGTGCAACTTTTAATGTATGTTTGAATATCTAAATGCTTGGTGTTGTACCCCAAAATTTGCCCTCTAATTTCATCAACATTTCTCATCACAAGACTCTTGGAACTCAAGATCAAGCTAGGGTTTGCTCTGCTCAAGACACCTCCTTGTACTGTTGACCTAAATTAGGGTTTGAGTTTGCACAGAGATGTTTTGACCTACAATGCCCAAAGTGACTTTCATATTTCATGTTGGACTCACAAGTTTGTCCATACCAAGTTTCAAGCCTTGAATCAAATTTTTGCCCAGTCAATTGGACAGTTGACCTATAAATTAACTGTATTGGGGAAAAAGTCAACTGTGGCCAATTGACAGTCAAATCTCATGAATTTTGACCCACATCAACATTATGAACTTATATGAACCATTTGATCAAGTTTAGATCACAATTCCACAAGAAATTTGATCAGATCACCAAAAGGGCAAAATGGTCATTTTTAAGGTTTTGACTGTACAAAGGCAATTTTGATTGTTTGACCTAGCCAATGGAAAATCAAGCTTAACCATGGACTCAAGGACTCAATGCCATTATCTTGACCCATTCAACAAGTTCAGAAGATCTCAAATGCATAGGATTGACAGATGAATTTTTCAGTCAACTGATCAAAATTTGACTATACACTGAAAAGTAAAACTTTGACTTCTTGGTCAAAATCAAGTGCCAAGAGTCATCTTCCATCAAAACATGTCAAATTATGAAACTTGTTCATCAAGAAACCAAAAATTGTAAATTAGGGTTTAAAATGTAAAATTTTCATAACTTAGAAATTTTCTAAGTTATGAAATTTTCTTATTTTTTCCTAACTTTGCCCCACATTTTCACCAAGATGCAAATGGATTCAAACAAAACTTACAACATGAAAGTTGTAGTCCATCACAAAGTCTACAACTTTAATTCACAAAGTTTTCTCAAAAGAAGCTTGGATCTCAAGTTATGATTTTTGGAACAAGGGTACCTAAAACTTTTAACTTAGAGAAATTTTGCCCTAGTTTAGGCAGGATTTTGACCCATCTTCTTGGCCATTTTTCACATAGTTCCAATTGGAGTATTAAGTTTCATTTCAAATATGGATTATATTACATGTTGCAAGCTTTCCAAATTGTCCAAGAACTCCTCAAACACCTTTGTGGTTAGGGAGAATCGAATGCTTGAAGTTGGCAAAAACTCACTTTGTAACCATGGCCAATACATGTTCATACCAAGTTGCAAATCTGACCAAACTAGCTTAGTACATAATTACAGGTCTCAAAACCAATTCACACTCCATAATTGAATGCAAATCCACTGAGCTAATGCATTATCTTGGCCATTTGGACATTGCACACAAAACTAATCCTTAATTAGAAAAATGTACATTTCCATTTTTGAAAAGGTATGCTTTATGTCAAACCATGATCTTTGAAGCATAGAGCCATATCTCTGAAGCCAGATCAAATCCAAAAATTGCAAGTATTAAGAAGATTGTATGCAGCATAATACATGACTTGTGCAGGCCTGTGAGATCAAGTTACACACTCTTGCTTCAAAAAGAAGAAACTTGTCCAAATCTTCCCAACTCAAAAACCAGCCATAGTCAGCTTACACAAACATTGCAAACAGGTTTCTCACATCCTCACAAGCCAGAAGCACGAGCCTTTGACCTCTCAAACCTCCTCATACTCCAAAACCACTTTTTTCTTGCAAAACAGGGCCAGTTCTACAAATCACAAGCCACAATCAAATTCCCTCGTGTGTTTTATCCCAAATCACTTCAAACACATTCCAAACAATATACCTAAGTTGTCCAGACCATTCACAAGTTTTTGTAACTCCATTAACACACATCACCATTTTTGTTTGAAAGCTTTGCAGGTTGAGTTTTGTAGCACGATTCAGGCCACTTCAAAACAAACTAAGCATTGGGAAAGGATCAGGGGACATCAAGCAAGCTCAAAAGAACCTCAGGCCCCATTGGAAGTTGCTGCATTGTCCAACTCGAACTCAACTGAAACAGGTATTTCATGAACTTCTATCTCTCTATTTAGGAACATTTAGACTTAGGTTTGTGAATGAAAGATGTTGTGTTCATAGCCCTGAAACCATACATGTGCTTAGTTTTCATTTATATTAATCGTGCTAGGAGAATTTCATCCATGAACTTTCTGAAAAAACTAGGTTAGAAATTAGGTCCAGAGAAATTCTCTCTGATCTTTGAGAGTTAGCTTAAGTTTTTTATATGGTTAGATTCGTTGTTTGATGCTATACAAGTTTCATGTTTTGAGTTTTGTCAAAAAAGCACTAAATCAGGAGATACATGTTTGAACTAAGTCATGCGCGCGTTTCTGTTGGACAGAGGAAGAAGATGAAGTAGCTGGGCTGGGCCTGGCTACTTCCTGCTTTTGGCACCCCCCACTTTCAGTTTCACACCCCTGGCCCTTTTTCTTGCATTTTGATATTTTTTTGCATTTTTATTTTCTTTTCTGACACTGATATTTTATTTTCAAACATAAAAAATGATCCAAAAATATTTTTATAATTTTTTACATTTATTTGGTATTTATTTTTATTTTTACTAGCATTAAAACACTTTATAGACTTTTATATTATTTTGTTTAAATTTAAAAAAATAATGAAAATAATACTTTTATTTCATTTTTTATTTTTATTCACATTGAAAACATTTTCTTGAAAATATTTCATTTTTGTAAATAATTTATTTTATTTTTTACACACTTAATATATATATATATATATATATATATATATATATATATATATATATATATATATATATATATATATATATATATATATATATATATATATATATATATATATATATATATATATATATATATATATATATATATATATATATATATATATATATATATATATATATATATATATATATATATATATATATATATATATATATATATATATATATATATATATATATATATATATATATATATATATATATATATATATATATATATATATATATATATATATATATATATATATATATATATATATATATATATATATATATATATATATATAAACATTTTCTTGAAAATATTTCATTTTTGTAAATAATTTATTTTATTTTTTACACACTTAATATATATATATATATATATATATATATATATATATATATATATATATATATATATATATATATATATATATATATATATATATATATATATATATATATATATATATATATATATATATATATTATATATATATAATATATATATATATATATATATATATATATATATATATATAT